AACACCCCCAATAATTGGAGCACAAAGATTTTCAACTGTTCACTATGGACATGGTACATATTAGAGTGTGGACTGTCATATCTCTGTTTCTCTCTATTCCAGAGAGAGAGAGGGGGGGTGAGATATTGAAAGAAATAGTTTATAATGTCCATCTAATGATCTATCTGTCTTTCACTGATTGACAATTTTCAATTATCTTCAGTTCTGTTTCTTTCATTGCTGAGGGTGCTTTCTTGTCCTCCGGACATGCAGCTGTATATTAAACATGTAAATTAAACTTAATTTAGACTTAATATAAGAGGAAAATGCAATTGTAATAACGTTAAAAATATTGCAATGCCTATGTTGCAATACAGTTAAAAATATCGCACACTACTAAACGAAATCAATCTTTGGGGCCCAACTCCATAGTGTATCTAAAATATTTTATTTGAAGATAACGACCAGTAATCAAGCTCAAATGTCTTTCTAGACATTCCATTGGACATGTTGGAGAAGAACAAACACGGCTCTCTCAAAAATCCTCAGGTGCAATGGAGTCCTGAGTGAGTACACCCAGTCGATCGGTCACATCCGCTGTACTATGATAAGACAAACAGAAAATCAGCAGACAATTACGTATGAAAATAAAAGCCTAACAGTTTGTATTAAAAAACGCAATTAATATTTAACTAAACTATTAAGTTTATTAGCCAACTATGCCATTGTATTGGTGATAAAATTTGGGATTTTTCTTAGAACTGGGTTTGCTGATATCCTTGTAATATCTAATTATTCGTCAATAGCTTGCTTCGTTTTAGAAATTTATCGTAATTAGAACATGCGTATCGAATCAGCTGGGAGACATTAACTCCATATCCAGGTGACACTGAATGATATATTGCTGCACAGATAAGGGAAGTAGACGACAGAAAAGTTGAAGTGATCAAATTATAATCCTAGGTAGAGAATTGATCCCGAGGACTCTTTTTCTACAAAAATGCCATTTTTCTACAGCTGGGAGGCTACTCGTAGTATTTTTATGCGCCCGGATCGATAGATCCGAGGCGTATATTGTTTTTGTCCTGTTTGATTAGCTGTTTGTCTGTTTATCTGTTTGTCTGTCTGTCTGTTGTCAACTTTAACCTTCGCAATAACTTTTGAACCATGAGAGATAGAGACTTCATATTTGGTATTCCTACTCCACTAATTAAGTTCTTTCAAATGACACCAAGGTCAATGAACTTGTGACCTTGATTGTGACCTATATGCTAAAAATAGCTTTTTCAAACTTTCCCCATAACTTTTGAATCATGAAAAGAGGCTTCATATTTGTGTTATGTGTACTTCACTAATTAAGTTCTTTTAACTTAAGGTCAATGACCTTGTGACCTTGACTGTGACCAATATGCTAAAATAGTTTTTCGATTTCTCTCCATAACTTTTGAACCATAGGAGATAAAGTTTTTTTTTAAATTTTTTGCCACCGGACGCGTAGTGTTTCACAAACACATCTTGTTCAACACGGAAAAATTGTCCCCGAGCAAAGAAATTTAAAGATGGTCCAAAAATGTAGATTTAGAGTGCTAGTCTCTTTGAATCGGTTGGGAAATGTTAAAATAACTTGGTTCTTCAATTAAGTAAATAGAATGCACAAGGGCGTAGCAACAGGGCGCCAGACCCCCCCCCCCCATTTTTTTTCCCAACCTTACTTATACTATAGGAAATGTTAATTGGAAAGCTTGGGTGACCCCCCACTTTTAGTGATGAACCGAAAATGTAGTATTAGAATTGGTACTAAAAGTACCCCCCCCCCACCCCCCTACGAAATAAGATTTTCAACTTTGGGCAACTTTTACCTTTTTTTTTTTTAAGTAATTTTTTTTTTTTTACAGGCTGGCCCCCCACTTTCAAAAATGATGCTACGCCACTGATGCATGTATTATCACTACAACGGGTAACGCGTGGGAGTCGCTAAAAAGTATAGGGGAGTCGTTTTGAGCGTTTCAAGGAGTAGATTTTCGCCACTTCGGAGTCGTAAGATGTATCTACAAAAAAAACCAATATCGCACGGAAAAAAGCAATAGCAATTAAAGCTTTGTCTTAGTCATTTGTCCGTCTAGTATTCTCTAACATTTTGAAAATATTCGACAGATTTTTTTTCATATTTAAATTGTTCGAGTGATCAAATCAAACATGATTTGAACAATCTACGATTTACATAGGGCTTCTCACAAATAAAACAGTAAAATCAAACGTTTATCTTTTAAATGCAATAATTAACCTTGACTAGATGTTATAAAAATAACCATTTATTTCTTTTCTCAAAAGTTATATCCTGAATTTTCAAATATTATAGAATGGAGGATTTATAAAAATGTTTGGTATCGCGTTTTTTTTTTATTCGAGAGGGCTAAAAGACAATACTATGAGTAGTCTGAAAGAGACATTTTGGAGACATATTTATGAATATTTTCAAAGGATTAAAGATCAAATAGATCTAGTGAACAGGCGATCGTTTATCTGTTTATGTAGTATAATTAACAAAAATATTTTTAAAATGGAAATTCAAAGTTGATGTCATTTTAATTCCAGTCCTATAATTTATCTTAAAGGAACCGTTTATATTTATTATGTATGGCCTAATTCACAATGATGTGGACTTTGTATGATCAGATGGTTAATTAATTGTTTTATTGCTTCAATAGCTGTATGGTATTGAAAGGCCGGGGACTAAATCTTTCCACTCGGTGTAGGGGGATTATACCTCCGTGTCGAGTGACTCTCCTGGATAATCCGCCATTTAACGTTAACAGTGGATTCATTCATTAACAATGCGTGGACAATGATCTGCAAAATTCACTTAGCGATTAAATCCCTCTTTAGAAATTATATTTCAACGGGCCGTATATGAGTAATACCAGATGAATTACTAAACAGTGCCCTGGTCGGGCGAGGGACCATCACTATGGGGAGATCGTGAGAAAGATTTAGTACCACAGGGCAAAGAAGGTAAGGGGCGAGAGGGGGTGTGGCTTGATTTTAACAAAGAACGGGGTCTTAAATTATTTTGTGAATTATCTGTAATTATTACCGTCGGATATTGCATTATTGATAAAAGATGTAGCAATAATTTTTTCGGTGTACATTCTTTTAGAGGGCGTCTTCACAGAATTTAACAAATTATACACAAATATATATATTTATTCTATGTTCATAGAAGTCATCAAGGACATATAGATATACATGTATGTATAGAATGATGTTTTTAATTTTTCAAATTTAATATTAAAAATTATTTTGACATGGATAATGTCGATGTTATTCTAATGTAAATGGTTTTACGTCTTCGTTGGTGACGTAGAGGAAAATAACACATTTTCTTAAATCTCTAAAATATACAAAAGTCGAGATTTTAATCGTGTGCTAAATCTTTAAACAATCAAAATCAAATTAAAATCGAGGCGTGTAAAATGCCGATTGCTACAAATGTATTAAAAGAAAATAATATTTGAAGAAATCTTTTTACTGGCGATAGGTATGAAATCATGGAAAAAAATGTGGGAAAAAAGCTCTCACAGCAAAAACTGGACAATTAATGGTTATCAAATATCTTCGAGTGACACGCTAACAACTTCTTTTATATTTTTGATTTGCAAAAAGATATAATTTTAATATATATACTTATGAGATTTGAATTCACACTTTCAACCAAAAGTAGGAACTAAAAAGGATTTACATTATTTAGAAATGACCATTTTTGCCCTCTTTGGCGTGCACATGCAATTTCTTGGACAAAAAATTTTACCACTAGTATTTGATAGTTTTGTTATGTGTTGAAATAAAATATGACAGAAAATTGTGTGCTGATTGAGATAATTTTCATTATACTTTTTAATGAAATATATGGAGATCAAACAGTATTCGAGCTCAAAAGTCCACTAAACAATAAAAAACAGGAGTGAAGCAAACACGGATCTCCAAAACAGAGGTAGGATCAGGTGCCATGGAGGAGCGAGCATTCTCTGCTGACCGGTCACACGCGCTGAGTGCTCCTTGTCATGATCGGGAAATAATGAAAAAATCCATGGACAACTCAGTTAGTATATAATGGCCTAACAATTAGTATGAAAAAAGTTAGTCAGCATGCATTTGTCTTAATGATAAATTGTATTTGCTGACAAGGTCACTGAATCAACCATAGGACTTACGAAATGAAGACTTGAAACGAGACTGCTGATATTCTTGCTTCATCAACTTGTTTGTCAATAACTTACCTCGTTTTACAAATTGTTCTTACGTAACACACTCTCTTCCGTATCGAATCAACTGAGAGATATGAACATATAGGCATATAGTGACAGATAGGATATTCCATGATTTGTAGCTAGATATGATTTTTATCCAGCGAGTTGTTTGATTTTTTTTAAATCTCCGAGCCTTGGCCATTATATACACAATGAATTGACTAAGGAGACTTAATACAGACAAGTTGACAGGGGATGATCTCTCCTCTGTAGCTCTGATCCCACCTTTGATGTTTTATAAAGGTCCGTGTTTGCTCTGCTCCCTATTTGTATCGTTTAAATGGATTTTGAGCTTGAGTACTGTTCGATATCTCCATATTTCAAGCAACTGCATATAAACACTTATTTTTGCCGGTCTTACTTTTCCTTCGTATTAATTCCAGTTCCCTGCTTATTTCAAGATAAATGACTTTTCATTGAAATGGATGAATTGCGGAGACAAGGACTTTTGTCGCACATTTCTTGAATGTCAGTCCCGAAATTGTTTGTCTCCATTTTCACATTCATCAAATTCTTTTATAGCGCTTCCTTGTCTATACTTCCATGAGCCCTGATATGTCCAAATATGTCCAAAAGTAATGGGAGATTACAATTTTCTAACCCATCTTGTCCTGGCTACATGTACATGTATTTGAAAGTTATTATATAAATCTGAGGAAGAATAATCATAATGATTCTGTGTTATCTTTCAGAACGTCTCCCTCCTCACCAATCCTAAAACACCATGGCTTCAAAGAAAGCCAGAAAAAAGAGCACGACAACAAGTGTCAGTCTGAAAGAGCCCGATACCTATCTACAAAACTGCCCAGATCACAGCGGAAATAAACTTTATTTCTTTTGTCGCCCATGCGCAGTTGCAATATGCCATACGTGTACAAAAGAGGCACATCTGAATCATGACATTGAAAATATATTCGAGAATTTTATGAGAATGCGAGAGCGCATGTTTAGTGATATACGATGTTTGGAAGATGTGATACAACCGGAGTATAGAAAAGTGGAGACACAGGTGCAGACGAACGTTCTAAAGCTGACCAGTGGATACGAGCAGGCTAGAAAGGCGGTGGTCTTTAACGGGGAAATCTGGCATAAAGCAGTGGACGATGCCGTGAAAAAATGTCTGGAGAAAATAGACATTATGGAAAAAGAAGATTTTGCTAACCTTCGAGAACAGAGAAAAATGATCGCCAATTTGATTGCCGAAATTCAAGCATTAATTGATAAAAACAGGAAACTCCTAGAAGAAAATGATATACCAGAGATAAACATTTATAAATCAAAAAATGAAGATTATTTGAACATTCCTACAGTTACTAGCATCATTGCACCTGTGTTTAAATATAACGAAACAGAAAATGTGCAGATTCCAGAAAGATTTGGTGCACTGAAAGCTTCGATGACGAAGAAATCTCGAGAGTATGTCATCAATTTTACAGCAATGACGTCACCTAAGCAAAAACAGTCTGTGCTTGAAAACCCGCTCGTTATTCGCAAGGTTAGCACGAAGTTTGACAAGTGTTGGAGCGTGCAATGCGTAAAGGACCAACAAGCGTGGATAAGCGGAGATGTGGAGACCGTGGCCAAAGTGGATATACAGGGGAATATGTTAGAAAAGGTTTCCACGAGATCAAAACAAGCACCATTTGATTTATCAATGACGTCAAAGGGGGATCTAATCTACACAGACTACGGCGAAAAAACTGTCAACATACTGAAGAAAGGAAGATTCGAACCCTACATTAAGTTACAGGGATGGAATCCATTAGGAATATGCTCGACAGAATCTGGTGAAATCTTACTATGCATGGACAATCGAAATGATGTACCAAAGCAAAGAGGTCAAAAGGTCAAGGTCGTTCGCTACGTCAATAATTCTCCTACGCAAGAGATACAGTATGATGATGGAGGACTTCCTCTGTATATGCCTGGGGATTTTGATGTTTACATCACCGTTAACACAAACCAAGATGTCTGTGTATCAGACCGAAACGCTAAAGCAGTGGTCACTACTGACAACACTGGTCGTTTTCGATGGCGTTACTATGGGAACATACCATCAAGATTATGTCCGTATTTTGACCCTAGAAGTATTACTGCCGATTCAAACGGTCGAATACTTGTTTCAGATGCTGACAGTAACTTTATCCACTTATTAGACGACGGAGGCCATTTTCTGAAACTTATAGGAAAAGGGTTTCTAGAGAAACCAGTTGGTATAAGTTTAAATTCAGATGGTAACCTCTTTGTTGTTGAGTATCATACAGCTAAATTGAAAGTAATAAAATATCTAAGATAAATTCTTTGTTTCCTTAACAAAACAGAACACAGTATATAAAAGCCATAAAGTATGAATAAAGAAATGGGTACCCTTCAAAATTATAGAAAGAATAGAAGTGTTTTGCCATGGGAAATCGGAAAAATGTGTCGGATCAAAAGTAAAATAGGAGGTGCAAAATAACACAATGTAACAAAGATTCTGTGAAAGTCTCTGACTCATTAAATAATAGTTTCAGTGGTATAAGAGGAGTTGCGGATAAAAGATGTTACCCCAAAACGTATACTGCCATATGTTTCCTATAGCAAAACATGGACACTGTCATTCTTTCTATAATATTGATGGGTACCCATCTCTTATCCGCTACTCCTCCTATACCACTGAATGAAATTTAGGGATACTTTCACAGATTCTTTATAATACAATGCCATTGTGCACCTCCTATTTTACTTTTTGATCTAACGTTATATTAGTCTTATTTCTGGTCTCCCAGAGTAAATCATGGACGTTGCCATTATAATCATATGGGAGGCGGTGGTATCATTTAGTGAGCTCAGAGGTCATGCACACTCTTTCTAGTTTTTTTTTTCAGGAATATACAGGTAAATACATGTATCCGTTATGATTCTTTGGACACAAATATAATGAAATATTGTATTAAGATAACATCATAAATTTGCATTTCTTTGACAATTTTCTTTTTTTTTTTTTTTTTGTTCCGTTATTTGGCACCGTCGTTTTCCAATGAACGACGATTTGAATATGAAAAAGGTATTATTCGCAATGTTTGATGAACAGATTTCCTCAAATCCCCCCATGTTGGTCTTTAGACAGGTGATAGAAGTTTTTTGTATAGTTACATAGTCTAACTGCAAGTCATCATAACGTAAAGAGTGGACACGGACCTCTGAGTTTGTGAGGATAATATTCAGTAATTACAACAAGTTTGTATTGTTTATTATCGAATTTATTTAAAGTGACACACAATGTAAAAATTAACTTGACCTATACAAAAAAATTTGAATACTAGCGTAATTTTCCTCCCTTGCAACATTTTGATTTGAAAACTTACCAATTCTTTGCTGTAAAACTTTTTATAGATGATTTATATTAGCGTGGTCATTAAGGAAGTGAAATCAAGGTCTTGTCTTACAAAAGATATATTGATTGTAAAATTTTACATCAATAATAACTCTGCTTAAAATTTCTAGCACTCAGTGAAATATATGGAGATAACAAACAGTATTCAGACTCAAAAGTTCATGAAACAATACAAAATTGGAGCATCTAGCAAACACGGATCCTCCAAAAAAAAATCAGAGGTGGGATCAGGTACCATGAAGGAGAGATAATCCCCTGCTGACTGGTCACACCTGTCCTTGTCATGAATCCATCGACAATTCAGTGTGTATTTAATGGCCTAACAATTAGTATGAAAAACGTCAGTCAGCATTTGACTTAATGATAAATTGTATTTGCTGACAAGATCATTGTATCGACCATAGAACTTCAACTTACGAAATGATTACTTTAAACAAGATCGATGACATTCTTCTTTCAGCAATCTGTCCGTCAATGATTTACCTCGTTTTAGAAATTGCTCATAAGAAAAGCATGCTCTTGCGCATCGAATCAACTGAGAGATATAAATTCTGTATGCAGGTAATGATGGTATATTGCTGCATAAGTAAGGGAAGCTGGCGATTGAAAAGTTACAGTCCTCACGTTTCATAAGTGTACAAATTGCGCCCCGATATCAGCAGATCTATTTTTGTATCGATATCAATGGCACCTGATCCCACCTCTGATTTTTTCCGGAGATCTATGTTTGCTCTTCTCGTATTTTTAATGTTTAATGGCCTTTTTGTTATCTCATACATATTCATGATAGTTCATGATCTCTGTTGATGTTCACGTTCCAATGTCTGAGGTCAAGGGTCACACTAATAAGATTTGACCTCTTTATATTTTCTAAGTCTATGATAGACTAACATCAATCTTCGTATACTGGTTGTCACTGAGTATAAACCAACTATTGTAGATTTTGAGGTCATAAGGTGAAAGTCAATATCATTGGTCATAGGGATAAACCGACTGTTCCATATTTTGAGAACGCTTTGCTTTTCAAACATTTCAAACAAAATATTTGATTCCCCTTTAAAAGAATGTATAAACCCAAATAATTTTGAGGTCACAAGATTATTGTTCAAGGATCAAACTGACATTTGAAGATATTGACCACTCAATATTTTTGACTTACCACTATATTGTTAGTCTCCAGTTGTTTTGTCCCTGATTATTCGGAAGAATGTACAAATGGCGTACTTTTTAGTGTGCTTTGAGATTGTACAATTTGTAAGTTAGAGATTACCAATAAGGCCTTGATCTCCATTAAATATAATGATACCACAGTACCGATTCATTATTTAATGGGATATTTAAAAAAATACAAATGCATTGGTAAAAAATATATATTTCTCGGTTAAAACAAAGGAAATTTTCAGTGAACAAATATACAACATATATATATATACAACTCATGTTTCCATACTTTGAGACAGATAAACAGATGTATTTATATACAAGATAATGTACTAAATAATTAATAAATAAATAGAATATTATAGCACATTTGAGGAATATTTTAAAGTTAATTGGTGAAACTGGTGAAAAGAAAATCAATCCCATGCAAGCATACTGATAAAAATACTTCAAACGTACATGCATTAAATATGCATGCATCAGTCATGCACGAGGGTTGTCCCAAAAAGTCGTAGACAGGGAACATAGTTTATTTTCTCTTTGCTAAATCAAATTTCTTTTCTTGTCATAGCAAAGAGTAACATTTTATGATTTTGCATTTCAAGTTTCATGACGATACCACATTTAATAAGAAAACTATGAAAAAATAAAGAAACCATGTAAGTGTACATCGGCGCACAAAAGCAAGCGTGATTTACGTCACATAACGTCATGGTCCCTTTTTCTGCTTCACATGAGGCTATTACATGTAACATCCAAATGAATATTCTTTTAGTGAAAACCACTCATGACTACGGGACTAATTTAAATTCACTACTGTCCGTTTTCTTAAGCAGATTCAAATTTTAGTCAAAATTAAATTAGTTGAAAGATCACCTTACATTTTAGACAGCAGAGAATACACATTGTTTGACGACGTTCATGGCCCAGAACGTTCCCAAATGTCTGCGTTAAACGATCAGTACTCTACTTTACATGCAATAACTTTTTTTTCGATATAGAGGAAGAACTATCTTTGAATCTCATGATAATTAAAAACACCTTTTCTATTAAAATATAGTGTGTAATGTCCTTCCTGTACTCTTTTTTCCCGTCTTTGGTGAATATAAAACATACCAAAAACAATTTATTACATTTCTGTGCGCCGGATACGTGTTCGACGACGTCATCAATCTTTTACATAGTACCAAAGAAATAAAAGCAAATGTAATAGTTATATGCGTAAATTATTCCGAATTTTGGTCGTGCCCCGACATCAGCCTTCATATAAATCGTCCCAATATAATTAATATGAAAGATGTATATTTAAGAATTTACAATTTTAAAGAACATTGAATGTGTTATGTCTATGCAAAATTTGGTTAGTATTGGTTGCGTGTTTAAAAAGTTATTAACATTGTCTACGACTTTTGGGGACAACCCACGTATATGTGAATGTACAAGAAAGCACTATAGAACAAATACATGTAATGTGAAATTACGTGAAAAATTACTGAGAAAAAATATACAAAGCAAACAATAAGGTAGATATATATAAAAATAAAAATTGATGTATAATATACAAATTTGAGTTGGCAAGTCTAATTTATATATAACTATTCATAATGATTTTGGTAATCTATGACACATACACTCATGTTTGAATTTGAATGAAATAAATTATAGCTGATGTTGTTTAGATGCAAAGACGAATTCAATTACAAAAATACACATTCTGTCACAACAGTTGATGGAAACATTTTAATATGAGATGGCTACCCTGTTACTGAAATACACGTGACCACAGACGTGACGTTCCTTCAGACTTCTATCCAATCATCATCGTACTCGTATAAAGAGTTCCGTCTGAACTGAAAAAGAAACAGATTGGTCCACTTCTATAAAAGACTTGTGTCTATTATTTTTTGTCGTCTGATGTACAAACGTTAAAAAAATGATTTCCGCCATTATTCAAAATATTAAGAACTCTACTATCCTGACTGTACTAAAGCAGGCCCTGATGTCTTTGAACGAATTTTCATTTCCACTTAGGCCTACATTTTTTTAAATTTATTGAGCACAACCTTGTATAATCAAGAATGAAAAAAATGAATTCAGTGAGAAAATGACACTAAAGAAATCGCCCAATATGTTTAAATAATGACAACTTTTTACAGTTTTGCTCATTTTTACTCCCTTTTTCCTGTTCAGAATCAGAATACTACAAAACATCATTCGAAGAAATTGCATCCATAACATTTAAATTACCAATTAATTTCTTGATAACATATCTTAAAATAGAGGGTTTGGTATACTAGTCACCTTAGGATTTCTGTGGGTTTATAAAATGATTATGTCTTTAGGGTTTTGCTATTTCGTACATTTGTGTAGACAAACTAAATGCATAATAATACAATGGTCGACTGAATAGGATTCTAAAATTTGTCAGCCATATTTCTCTCAGAAACAGAAATGTTTTAACTTCATGGCGCACATCAATGTTTTATCAATTTATGAATATACTGTATACAGGTAAATTTTCGCCAATTTCGCCATACCCTTTTTGGGGGCGAATTTAAACGGAGCGAATTCAAAGAAAACAGTATAATTTCTTAAACAAAACAATGACTGGGCAAATTTAAAACGGGGCAAATTTGTTTGTAATTGTGAAAAGGCGAAAACAACACGCTGCAAAAATAACCCTGTATACAGTACATGTAGTTATTTTCATTCGTATGTCGACTCGATTTATCCCAACAAATATTAAAGACACCACAGAG